TGGCCCAGTTATATTGCCAGAAGCCAGCATTTAAGAGTGCTGCATAATCTTCCAAGAGACTGCATTTTCCTCATTGCTCAGCCAGATGGGCAAATGGAGGCACAAAGGCTTCTCACAGGATGGTTCAGCTGATCTGGGAAAAGCAGGAAGAATGACACAAGACAGTTCTTCAGGTCGTTGCTACTTGGAAAAGAGTTCTGGCTGAAAATACTGCTTAATCAGGCTGGAAGGGAGGTTCCTATCTTGATAGCAGAGTTTGGAGCACGGCTCAGTTTTTGTTATCGCACAGCTTTGTCTCACAAAGAGAGCTCCCATTGTTGCAACCTGGGTGCTGGATTTCAAAACATTAATCAAGGATTAGGCCTTGGTGCTGATTTATGGGAAAACACCAGTGCCACAGAGGGTATATCCCATGTAAATGATTAATGGAGTATGTGTTCTTTGAGATGGGTCCTTGGCACATATAAACTGGATGCACAGGCAGCAGTGTGTATTCCTCAGGCTGCCTCAGAAAACCAAGCTCCGGGAGAGTCTCACTGGGATTAATCCTGCCCCTCTGCCCACTCCCACACCCCAGAGTGGGCTTTGGAAGAGCCACCCTCTCCGGGGAAGGGAGGGAAGCGGCAGCACAGCTCTGAGCTGTGGCGGTGTCATCTGTAATACTGACGTATCCCTGTAGAGGGAATGCTTTGGTAAGACTTCAATGAGGCTGTGTATCTCTGTGTTCCATCAGGGACCAAATTCATTTCTTGCATCACCTGCTGAGTTCAGGACTTAACATCAAGAGCATTTTTACCCAGTAGGTTGCTGGTAGTTGTTTTGTTGGGATTTTTTTCTACAATTCTTATTCTGCTACAATTCGCTTTAAAATTTTGTCCCTGACTGAACAGGGTGGAAATGCCCATCTGATTCAGTGCAAGGGATAGGCTTTGATGCTGTCTTACATGAGCATCAAAAGCTTAAGATAACATGCATATTAAAAGTGTTTTTCACTGGCAGCTTGCAGAAGGCCCCATGGCCAGATGTAACAAGAGGGAATCCATAGCGTGTTGTTTATCAACTCCTTCTACACTTCATCTAAAATGCACAAGGAAATCACAATGCCTTCTGAACAGCACTGGGAAATAGGGCTTTTTTCACTAAAACTACATCAAAAATACCCCAACATTATGTGTTATTTGTGTTGATTAAAGTAGGCTTTGCAACACTGGGTTTGTTATTGACCATTAAACTGTACACTGACCTAGTCCTTTCCCTCCAAGCTGTCAAAGTATTTAAAGACTGATCTACACCCAGCCCTTGGTTCCACTGTGCCTATAGATCACCTCGGCCACAGACACTTTCTGATGCCTCTCCTCTAGCACTGCTGCCTTGCCTTTCCAAAATGAGGGGATTTTCCTCTACTGCACTGCAAGGCCTACCTTGAAGGGAAGGTGAGGGAGCAGTACAGGTGATGATGCACAGCGTCCTCTTTATTCAGGTCACAGCCACTCAGACCATTTGCCATCTGGACACCTGACAGCTTCAATGCCATCTCCTGAGCACACAGGCCTCTGGATGCCCAAGCACAGCAAGTCACCATCCCTCAGCATCCACCTGGGCACCAGAATGGCAGCACTGACCCCGAACCCTTGTGGATGGCATCAGGGTGGATCTATGGTGTTAACATTTCCAAAAGCACAGACATACCCTCTGAAAGCAAGTCTTAATCATCACAGGGACTTCCTTTGTGGATATGAATAATCTCCTCACTTCCTCTGAGGAACCCCCCTGTCTGCTGAGCTCTGTTTCTGCAGAAACATCAATAACACTCAAACTTTGAGAGGTTTCGCCTAGGAAAGACAGCTTTTCTTGGGAAAGGGATGAAGCAAACATCAGGTGAGCCCAGCAATAAACTGCCCAGGCCAGGCACTGCCACAGTGCAGCTTCACCCATGTCTGTGACAGCTGCCAGAGGCTTCTCTCTCTTTTCAATTGGTCTTGACTTTGGTCAATGATGAACAATTTCTCTGCAACATCCCCCTGCTCTGCTTCTCCTTCCCCCGGCCACTGGCCAGGGACCTGCTAGTCAGATCAGCATGGGAGGGTCTGGGAGAAGCACTTTCCTCTTCCTGTGGGGAAGGATATGATTAAAACCTTGTAAATAAAAGGCTTGGCTCAAAAAATGTCTGGGTGCCTCCTGGACACAATGCAGCCATGAGCTGTGGCTCGGGGTGGTGAGAAGCAGAGGTGGGACACGGTGTGATGCCATGCCACGCTGGCCATGGCCTGTCTGCCCCAGACCCCAGGAGCAGGCACAGACACCTGCTGCTTCCATGTCCTAAGGGCTAACTGAGGTGGCAACCCCAGGAAAACCTGCCACAACCAGGACTGCACCTTCTGGACAACTGTCACCAAGGTGGAACCCAGGTCAGAGCACAGCTCTGGTCCTGGGTGGTGCCTGTTCTACCTGCTCAGAGCCATCCCCTTTGAAAGGAGCAAACAGGCCTCACCACTGGCTGTACAGCGGGGTTCCCTCCTCTCTAGGGAACTACCCTGGAGTGGGTTTGTGCCAGGGGAGAATTGTCCTCTTTGCACCTTCAGGTCTGTGCTGTGTGCTACCAAGAACCCACCTGCAAATCCCACACAAAGTGAACCAGTGTTTGTGCTCTGTCCTAAGCTCCTCTTACCCTTTTGATAATAATGGGATAAAAATCTTCCTTAGGGGGACAGGGACAACAGCACCCATGGAGGGGATGGGCTCTCCCAGAAGCAGGGAGGGTCTGCTGTTTTGCTTTAGTAGGGAGCAGGCAGTTGTCTTGTTTGCCAAGGGTATATCTGGGCTCAGAAACCCAGCAGCATAGACTTGTGCACAAAAACAGGAAGAAACTGCAGCTTTACTGAGACTGAGAAGGATAACATCAAAAGGCAGAAGTTGCGATCCTCCATCCCTCTCTGTTCTGATGTTCCCTCCGTGCACAGGCCATATGCTCTGCATCCCACGCTCTGGCATTGGATTTGATGTCTCTTTATAGCTAGAGGGTGTCTTGACCAGCTTTCCAGTGTGGTCAGAAACCTGATGTTGCACTGGATTAACCCTGGAGTCAAACCATTTACTCAGGTTCCTAAGGAACACAAAGCTGGCAATTCCCTGGGGCATTTTAAGGATACTCATGCTGTGTCCTGGTGTACCTTTTGTTTTAACAGTGTGAGACTGGCCAAAAGGCAGCCCACAGAGAGACATCATAGCCCAAGGAAAAGTGCATTAGACTGAAACTCAGGGGATGTGATGCAAAGATATAGGAAATCTACCCACATGTTGCCTAGGAAATTCACTTTATGAACTTTCCATGCCCTTTACTTGGTTCTGTCCAATGTGTGCAGAAATTGAGGCTGGAACCCCAGCCTCCTGACAGTAAGGACCAGAACCTGTGACGGTTTTACCGAAGAATAAGCGTTGTCTGCGACTTCAGGGCCGTTTCCTCCCGCACGGCTGAGGTATAAAGGAATCTGCCGTTCCCAGGAGCAGAGAGGCGGCAGGGATGCTGGAGCCAGCTCTTTCAACCTGCCGAGGCAAGAGGGACCCGCGGACAAAGGCGGCCACCCCAGAGGGAGCAGGGCAGAGAGCCGCGGCTGACAAAGCCCTTGGCGGGGGCGGCAGCAGCGGAGATGCTCCGGGAGATCCCGCTCCGCTCGCATCCCAAGGCGGCCGCCCGCGGCTCGGGTCCCTCCCCGCGCCCGGGCAGAGCGGGACCGGGGCCATTTCGGCGCCGCTTCCCCGGGCCGCCCGGCAGGCGCGTTTTCCTGCCTGTCCAACCCCACCCTTTCCCGGGATGGTGCTCTCTCCGGTACCTTTTCTTCAAGAAAAACCGAGGAAACCCATCTGGAAAAAAAAAAAAAAAAGAAAAAAGAAAAAAGAAAAAAAGGCAAAAAGCGGGGTGGAAGCCCCGGGGGGGCAGCGGTGAGGCAGCGCGGCCGCGGCGGGCAGGGCACGGCAGGGCACGGCGGGGCGGGCGGAGGGCGGGCGGAGGGAGGGAGCGAGGGAGCGGCCCCGTCCCTTTGTACCTGCCGTTCGAAGGCGCCAGGCGGGCCCGCATTGGCTGCGGCGGCCGCGGCTCCGTAACCCGAGCCGGGGCGGGCGCGGCGCACCGGGCCCGGCCAGCGCCCAGCCCGGCAGCCAAGGGGCGGCTCGGCACGGCTCGGCTCGGCTCGGCTCCGCCGCCAGCAGCCGCCTCTCCCTGCGCGCCGCTGGGCTCGCCGGGGCAGGGCCGCGCCGCCCTGCCCGGCAGGAGGTGGGACCAAGCCGCGGCGCTGCCGCCCCCTCCTCCCTCGCTCGTTCCCTCCCTCCCGAGGGCTGAGCCATTCCGGGAAGGCGCCGGCTCCCCCACCGCTCCTCGGCAGCGCCGCACCGGCATCGGCCGCCACCGCGCCGGGCTCGGCCCCACGTCGCCCCGGGGCTGCGGAGGCTCAGCGGCGGAGCGCGGCGGGCAGCGGTGCGCGGTGCCCCGGCAGGCGGCGGCGGGCGGCGGGCGGGCGGGAGGACAAGTGGACGGAGCGCCCGGGAACGGGGGGGCGGCCGCCGCGTAGTTGTTTTGCCCGGGGTAAGTTGGCCGATCCCTGCAGAGGCTTCGCTCGGAGAGTGCAGCGCTTGGCTCCCGGCTCCCTGTCGCCCCCAGCCTCCGGGGCAGAGGGGGCGCCTTTTTTTATTTCATCCCCCCCCCCCCCCCTTTGGTTTGTGTTTTCATTATTATTATTATTATTATTATTATTATTATTATTATTATTATTATTATTATTATTATTATTATTATTATTATTATTATTATTATGGGGTCTATGGGAGAGCAGAATTTCCAGTCCGGCGTTGCTCTTCTTCCTTGTCCAACGCTCAACGGAGAACTATAATATTTCTTCCCCGAGATGCTGTAGTGATTTTTAGTTGTAGGAAATCAGGCGAACAAAACCATCCGAATAACCCGAACCATTTGTTATCCTGTGAGAGCAAACGCAGCCTAGGCAGAGATGATGGCAAAAAATTCCATGGAAGGGTCTAAAGAAGACCTGAGCAAAATTACAGAAGAGGAGATGCTGAGATGGAGCAAGGAAGAGCTGGTGAAAAGACTGAGGAAAGTGGAGAATGAAAAGATGAACTTAATGGTGGAACACGGCAACTTGATGAAAGACGTGAACCGGCGGCTGCAGCTCCACCTGCACGAGATCCGCGGGCTGAAGGAGGTGAACCAGAAGTTGCAGGACGACAACCAGGAGCTGCGGGAGCTCTGCTGCTTCTTGGACGACGACCGGCAAAAAGGCAAGAAGCTGTCAAGGGAATGGCAGCGCTTCGGGAGGCACACGGCCAGCGTGATGTGGAAGGAGGTGGGCATGTACCAGCAGAAGCTGAAGGACCTGGAGGCGAGGCAGGAGACCCTCCTGCGGGAGAACGTGGAGCTGAAGGAGATGGTGCTGATGCTGGACGAGGAGCGGAGCGGGGCCGGCTCGCGGAGCTCCATCGACAGCCAGGCCAGCCTGACCAACCTGAACGGCGGCTCGGCCACCAGGGACGTGGGGGACGGGAGCAGCACCTCCAGCACGGGCAGCGCGGGCAGCCCCGACCACCATCACCACCACCTTCACCACCACAAGGCCGGCGACAGCAAGGCCGGGGCCATGCGGAGGTCTATGGATGACCTGTCCGCGCCCCTTCACCACCGGAGCATCCCGAACGGCCTCAATGGTGAGCGAGCCCCTGCCCTCCCTGCCCTGCCCTCCGTGCCCCGCTGGCCCCGCGCCGCCAGCCCCGGCCTGCCCGCTCCCCCGTGCGCTGGGCGAGGGACTCCGGGGAGGGGGGTCCTGGCCATTCCCAACCCCGTCCATCCTTGTGACCTCTTTGGCACAGCAGCCCCGGGAGCCGGGGAGGGGCACCTGTGTGCGAGGTGTGTGTTATCAGCGCGTTAACTGTGTTATCGATGTCCTGGGCTGAGGGTTGGAGCCTCTTTTATCTCCGGCAGGGTTGGTGTTTGGTTTTGTTTGTTTGTTTTGGGTTTCTATTTTGACAAAAATCAGCCTGAGTTTTCAGGGTTAAATAAACACTGATTGTGTTCCCACTCTTCCTCCTCTTTCTCTCCCCCTTTAAATATTTTGGTTTATGTTTAGTTTGTTTGTGTGGTAGTTTGATAAGATTGATAAAGATGGGATGAGATTTTGGAGGCATCTGATGAAAGTTCAGGTTTGTCCCACAGAGCATCACCTGTTAGCTCCACAGGCTCTCAGAGCAGACTAGCTGTGGAGTCCTCAGCAGTTTTGGAGAGGGGCAGCTCGGCTTTCCCCTGTCTCCACTTCAGAAAGAGGAGTTTTGTTTGTAGAGAAGAGATTGCTCTCGAAGGGACGCTGTACTCACGATTTTGTTCAGGCTAGTCATTGAAGTTAGAAACAAGCTCCACAATGAAATCGTGCCAAGCCTCCTCTGGCAGCTCATATCCAAGCAAAGTTTCTCCTGTTGTCTAATAGTGATCAGGCATTAACATAATATTGAAATATCTTTAAAATGGAGATGTAAAAAAAAATCTTTTAAAACCAGCAAGATCAAATACATGATTTTTAGAATGTGTGGTCAAGAGGATTCAGTAGGAATCAAACCAGGCAGCAATCTAAAAACTTCTTATATATGACTACTTTTAATGTTCTTAATCCTCTTTTCTCACCAGAGAGGGCTATTTTCTTTGTGGGGTGTCCTTTTCCCACCTCTAAGCACACAGAGGGAGATGGAGCCCCAGAGGTTGGCTCTGATTGATGTCAGCAGTGGATGTGCTTACCAGATAACCATGCTTTCAGCTCCCAGAGCTTTTGGTGTTCCTTTTTTTATTTCTGGTGATTTGTGGCAAGTCTTCATGTCCCAAGAGACCTGAGGGCATAGAGGATTGATCAACTCGTTTCACAAGTGTTCATCCATGAATGTGCTGTTTGCAGTCCTGCTGCCTCAATGTGTCAGCTCATGGCTGGAGATGTTCTGGCCACCTTGCCCAGTAGTCAAGGATTGCTGGTTTCAAGGGTGATCCAGTCACCAGATGGTACAGCAAACATCTTTAAGTGTTTGGTGTGGAATTTTTTAATCTCTCTCTCGTAGAGCTGTGTAAATCAGAAGTATCTGCTTTGTAAATCTGCAGATAGCTTCTGCTCTTGACGTGACTTGACTTTATTTTCATAAAGCATTGCTCTCCACAGAGGCTTGAAGAGCACATGACAGGTATTGAATGTGCTGTTACTGTTATGGAACAGGAGGGTCTCACAGCTCTGGTTTGTGAACCTTAGACCGTGTCCCTTTTAGGTGTTGGTGGCTGAACGGGACAAAGCCACTTGAATTCATCTATTAACTCAGGGCTCTTGAGTACACAAAACATAACCAATACCTTAGAGCTGTCCCATCAGTCCGGGGTGATGGCACAGTGGGATGCTTCACCTTGCATTCAAAGTCGCCCCTGTCAGCACAAAGAGGGAAACCTCTGCTTTCAGAGCTCGGTCCTCATTGCGCTGTGTGTGGGAATGTGCCCACAGCATCTTTTGGAGGGGGCTGAGAGCCGAGTCTCATGTCCTACCGTAGGGTAAAGGTAGGAAAGGGAGGATGACCATCTGCACACACACAGTGCTTCCATGCCTGCCTCTGCACACCCCTTCTCATTTCCTCTGTGGGAAGGATGGGTATGGGCTCGAGCATTTCACTAAAACCTTTAGGTTTTGGTGACTTCTGGTTGTGGGGTGCGTGTGGAAGGTGGTCTCTGTGGGAAGCATTGAAGCTCTTTCCTGTGGACCAGTGCGGCTTCATTTCTGAGGGTGCAGCGGAGATGATCGGCACTTTTAAAGCTAATAATCCTTGTAAAGATGTAGACAAGCCTGATCTCTCCACTTAGGTAGTGAAGCTGTAAAATGACTTGAATAGTTGTCATTCTCAGATAGCATCGGTATTCAGCAAGGCCATTTCCCTGGCTGGGCCTTTGGAAATGCCTCTCAATACATATGCAAATGCAGGGCTTATCAGGCCCCTTTTTTTGACTGACAGCAAGAAGTCTGGGAGGGGGTGTTTGCCTGGGTCCAGCAACAATTCTGTTAAGCCTGTGACGGCGTAGAGGAGCAGGGCAGGAGCAGGTGAACATGAAAAACCACTCCAGTGAGTCAGGTGGGCGGTGGAGCTGTCACCGTGCAGCCCCGCAGTGAGCAGCCTGCCGTGTCTCCGGTCCCAGCTCCTGTCTCCTGCTCCTGTCCCTGCCTTCCTGTGTGCAGCCGAGGTCTCAGCCCTTTTGTGCTGGCCTCTTGGTGCGCTTTATTTTCCTCAGGTATAAGACAGAAGGAAGGCAGAGGAAAGAGTGCGTGGCCTTGCATTTTTGGGTTGTAAGCTTGAGTCTGGTTTGCTGTTGTCTGATGTTTTTAAAGCACTGGAGAAGTAAGCAGAGGGTGAACCAGGGACTGCCCGGCCAGCTCAGCTGATACTGAAATGAACAGCCCTGTGTGCTTTCTTAGGGAGAGGAGGTGGCTGAAAGGGATGCAGTGCAGAATTTAGTATCTCTGGTAAGAACTCAGCAGAAGCTTTGGACAACTGGTGGGAACAAGGTTGCTACTTCTGAGCTGCTTGCTGGAGTATTTTTGCTTATGGAAAAGCTGGAAAATCCTGAAATTGGGAACTGGAAAATGCAGAACTCTACTGCCCCTGCTAATGGTATCCATTGAGCTTCACTTGTTAAGTGCTTTTCTAAAGGTGTCAGGAGTATCGTGGCTGTTAAAACACTTACAGGAAGGTAGATTTTTAGTAGAATCTTAGTGAGCAAATGTGGGTTAAATGTTTCTCATTTTCTGTTCAGCGATCCTTGGAAGTGAGTTGTTGAACCAGGCTTGATTTATTGGCCCCAGTGACCCACCCCAGTGTGAGGTGATGAACTCTAGATTTGTAAGGTGAATTCAGAATAAATGGTGTAAGTGCAAAAAACACCCCCAACCCAACTGGTGGTCCACCTTTGCTTCACTTTTCTGAAGTTTATTTACTTCTGCAAGTTGTCTTTCAGAAGCTGATGATTAATTATTCGCTCATGGAAGATAAGATAATAATTATAACATAGTGTGAGAATGGCTAATATTAGAAGACATGTAATCCTGCTTGTTGGGAAAGTGAGAGGTATGGTTAATGTCTGTGTGCACAGGGACCTGGGCTGTGGGACAGGGGCACCCCCAGACTGTGTGATGGAAACAGTTGCCTCTGTAAGGATATGTCACAGTTCTAAACCTACCCAGATCTAGGGCAGAAATTGAGGCGCAGTCACTCTGTGTACTTGTGAGTGCTTTGGCTTTCCTTTTTATGCATGGTGTGGATCTGTGTGTGCACACACAATCCTTCTGCCCATCCAGCTTTAGACAGCTCTGTTGAAGCAGCTGCTTGGAATTGGGTTTGAAAAAGAGAATAAAAAAAAAAAAAGGTCAGGCACATTTTGTGATATTGATATTAACATGCCCTGGGGGAAGAAAAACCCCTCAGGTTTATTCCCACAGGATGTACTCCTGAACTGTGAGGTATGTGGGAACATTGGAAGGAGTGACTCAGAGTTCCCTGAGGCCAGGGCAAGGGCTTCCACCGGTTTTAGCCTTATCTAGATCTCACTGGGACAACTGTTCATCCATCTTCCAGCCTGGAGGCATACAGACTCAACTAGCAATGTGCCAGGGACAAAATCCTGTGCATGCAGGGAAAGCATTCAGGCTTTAATTTTATTTCACACCCATCAAGTGAAGTTGTCCTTAGAACTTCACCTTCCACTGAAACTGTTTGCTCTAGTGTTTCCCAAATGGACTGGGTGGTTTCCAGTGTCTCTGACTTTATTCCAGTTGGGTGAAGTGTTAATTTTGATGTTTTGTTTTTGTAAAATATTGAAAACATCAACAATTAAAAAGTGGTCAGGGAGGCCCTGTGGGTACATCCTGTTGTAGCAGATGTATTAATCTATGGCCTCTTGTTGCTGTCTTCTCCATGAAAGAAGAATGCTCTCTCTGGGTGAGGGGGTGGGAAGATCTCGAGTTGTATTGATTCCCACTTGTAGATGTCCACATATTTACCTAGAGGGTACAATATATTGCAGTTAAAATGGTGGCAGAGAGAAATGGCTGTTCTCTGTGGGTTGGTATTGATTGGTAATGCAGCTGCCCTTCTTTGCACACCCTTAAGGCCAAAAGACTTTGTTTTATTAGTGTATTAATAATCAATATACTTATTATTTACAATGGCATATTAATGAGGCCTTTGAGACGAGAATATGCAGGGGCAGAAGCGAAAGATGAGATTCATCCCATTTAATTTGAGATATCTCCAATATAGGCTTTAACATCTGCATTCCCTTGGACATCCTTTATTGGCCACGTGGAGAGAGGCACATTGGTGTGATGATTTATGTGAACTGTGTCTGCATCAAAGAGAGCAGAATTGTGTGCTGGTTGTGCTCTTTCCCTCTGCTGATGCCTGGTCAGCTCATTCATATGCAGCCATCTAAAGCCAGATGAGATCAGCCCTGTTCCAGGTCTTGTGGTGACCATTGTCCACTTTTGCAGTGCTTCTGTCCTAGCTCTGGTGAAAGAGAGGAAATTGCCTTTCTCAGCAGCATTCAGATACCACCCCCTCACAGTCCCTCACTGGTCAGACAAAGTCCTGTTCTCTGTGCTGGAGACCTCTCAGAGCTCAGTGGCTCCTGCCAAGCTTAAGCA